CCCCGGCCCCGGCGCCGCCGGGGCGCGGGAGGGGAAGTGCCCGGCCGGCGGCTGGGGTCCGGAGGCAAGGGGGCTGCCTGAAGCCCATAGTGCTCGGGCAGTTCGGCTCTTAAACAGACCCGAAGGGTCGGGGAGGAGCAGAGCCGCCGCGGCCGGAGGCTCTACTCCTCCCCTGACTCTTCGGCTCTGTTTAAGAGCCGAGCACTACGGGCTTCGGGCAGCCCCCATGCCTCCGGACCCTGCGCCGCCGGAGCCCGGGAGGGGAAGTGCCCGGCCGGCGGCTGGGGTCCGGAGGCAAGGGGGCTGCCTGAAGCCCATAGTGCTCGGGCAGTTCGGCTCTTAAACAGAGCCGAAGAGTCAGGGGAGGAGCAGAGCCGCCATTTTCCCGGACATGTTCGGCTTTTTGGCAATTCCCCCCGGACGGGGGTTTGAGTGCCGAAAAGCCGGACATGTCCGGGAAAAAGGGGATGTATGGTAACCCTACCAAAGTTATTGTTGGGAGGGGGGGAACCCTTACTCCTGCACTGCTGGTGCTGCCTTCAGTGCTGAACAGCTGAAGAGCAGCGGCTGTTGGTCGGGAGCCCAGTTCTGAAGGCAGAGGTGCCACCAGCAGCAGTGCAGAAGTAAGGGTGGCAATGATATGGTATTGCCACCCCTTCCTTCTGCGCTGCTACTGGGGGGGTGCTCCTTCAGAGCTGGATGCCCAGCCAACAGCTGCCACTCTGCCCACCTAGGTCTGAAAGCAGCACAGAAATAAGCGTGGCAATACTGTGACACCCTAAAATAACCTTGTGACCCCCCTGCAACTCCTTTTTGGGTCAGGACCCCCAATTTGAGAAACGCCAGTCTCCCCTGTGAAATCTGTGTTATATAGGGTAAAAGCACACAAAAGACCAGATTTCATGATCCATGATGTGTTTTTCATAACCTATGAGGCTGGACAATTATATTAGACCTGTTAACAGATGAATAAATTGAGTCATAGAGACAAGATCTAGGGGTAGATTTTTAAAGGTATTAAGGTGTCTACTGGGTTTTCAAAAGCATCTAAGCAGGTTAGGCACCAAACTCCCCAATTCTCTTACCCTGGTGCCTGCAGTGGGAGAGAGGTGTGTGTGTGTGGAAGGGAAATCTCTTACCTGGGGGCTGCAGTGGGCAGCCTGGGTGGGGGGAGGGGAAATCTCTTACCTGGGGGCTGCAGTGGGCAGCCTGGGTGGGGGGAGGGGAAATCTCTTACCTTGGGGGTTGTCGTCCTGGGAGTCCCTGGGCCCCAGACCGCATTACACCTGGAGACAAAAGCAGGGTGTTTAGAAGCAGGGGCCGCACTCCCCAGGCACGGAAAGGCGCCGGGGAAGAAGCAGCGGACCCGCTACCTGTTCATGTCGCAGGCCAAGCTCGCTGGCGGGGTGACCGGCTCCCTCCAGCTACAACCAGAGCGCGGGAGCCAGGCCTGGCTGCCGGAGCGTGGCCATGGCAACAGCGGCGCCAAAGCAAAGAACAGCTAAGAACAGGGCCCAGCCTGCAAGGCTCCGGCAGACAGACCGGTGTTGCTCCGCCCACAGCCTCCCTACAGCCGGTGTAGCACAAACAGCTCTTGCTCCCCTTTTGCTACCTTGGGTGTACTGAGCATGCTCACTCGAACTGAGCATGCCCAGTAACCTTCGTTGTAGCCACTGCCCTCTCTCTGCCCTTACTTCTACTTTCGATTTGCTGCCTCCTCTTTGGGGGGGTTTAAAAGGATGAAGGGGGGCAAATCGCAGCGGGGGGGCTGCCAGGGTCTGAGCAGGGGGCAGGATTTTACTGGCCTGGGGGGTTCAAGCTACTGTAGCTGGCGGCAGAAGAGGGGCTGAAGGGCAAAAATCGGTACGGGGGGAGGTGAGAGCCGGGGTTAAGCGTGGGGGGGGGGGGGG